CTCACCCTCACCACTTGTTATGCAGGAGTGCAAGAGCAGTCTGAGAAGAAGGGGGATTCCTTGGCTAGAGCGTAGCCTTTGTGGATGCTTCTTTTCTCTATACTTTCCTCTTTCACTGGCTGGGGGCATTTTGGATTCGGATGACGTTTTGCTACAGTCCTGGAGAAGCAGCAGGGCATTAGCTGTAGCTCCTGCAAGACAACAGTCTGCTCTTTTCCCTTTCCACAGGTAATCTGTGACAAAATATTCCGTCGGTGGTTCTCCCCAAATCCCAGAGGACCGCTGGTTTCCCTCCCCCTGCAGCTGCAGCTGCAGAAGGCTGTGCAGGAGTGTGCTGAGCCGGGGCACGTGGACGTGGCCGGGCACCCGAGGACTCCGAAATCTCTCTCCGAGCTCTACCACCTGCTTCGGGTCACTCGGCGAGAACTGCAAAGGGCAGAGTAGACCCAAAAGGCAGAACCGCCACGGCCACATCCCAGCCACTGCTAAAGGATGCTGTATAGGAGGCAGCCTGTGTTTTCTTTCTTTCCCTTGCTCGCTCTCTCATCCCTGCTACCCGCTGTATTACATTTACAGCGCCGAGATTGTTTTTCTCCCATGCAAATGAAATTCATGGCTGCAGGTGCAGCAGCACGTCCTGTTAACATCCTTTCAAGTGTGAAATTGTTTTACATTACCTGGATTCTGTTCTTGCTTCTTCTCCTGAGCTAGCGCTAGCCCTCTCCATCAGCATTCAGCGCACCATTTGCTTACCAAGAGCTGTAGTCACTGCTCAGATAGCATCTGCCGGAGTGCGGTGCTCAGAGTGAGGACGCGTGTACAGAAGAAAAGTGGAAGTAAAAGTGCTGCAAAACTAATAGCAATAATTAAAATAGTGGCGAGGTGGGTGTGGATAAGTACGTGCATGGTGTTTGTTTTCATTTGTCTGTGGAATGGGTTTTCTTTTAAATTAGGGATGGAGTGCTCCGTGTGAAAAAACAGTCTAAAATAGGGAAATGTACTGTACAAAGCAGTCCTTTCTGGTGTCCTCGAAAGCATTTTCTCTGGGGTGTTGCATTACCTCTGCCATAGCTAACGTTCTGGGGAGAAATTATAGGAAGGTACTTAGGACTTTTCTCGAGCAAAATAATTATACCCTTGCTGAGTTCCCATGTGGCTACTCATATTCTGCAGTGGAGAGGTATGAATAATGCCACTGAATTACCCCATGTGAACAAGCCCTCAGGCACTTGTACATCAGAGCACTTGATAGGAA